ATTGAAAGTACCCGTGGTACCAGTTCGTATTTGGGTACCTGAAGCTCATGTAGAAGCACCCACCGCTGGATCTGTTATCTTAGCGGGAATTCTATTAAAATTGGGAACTTTCGGTTTTTTAAGATTTTCTGGAGATGAATTCAATTTTGGAGTAGAAAATGTAGAAGTGTTTGGTGAACCAAAAATTATTTTGCCTAAAGAAATAAAAAGGATATGCAAAATTAAACTAGTCTAATTAACACAAATATGGCAAAGTGACAATAATCGCGTAAACGATTTTTTTTTTAATTCAGGAAATGGAGGCTACGCTGTAGCAATTGCAGGTCATATAGCTTTCTTCTTCTTCTTCTTCTTCTTCTTCTTCTTCTTCTTCTTCTTCTTCTTCCTCCTCTTCTTCCTCCTCCTCTTCTTCCTCTTCTTCTTCTTCCCTCTTCTTCTTCCTCCTCTTCTTCTTCCTCCTCTTCTTCTTCCCTCTTCTTCTTCCTCCTCCTCTTCCTCTTCCCTCTTCTTCCACCCCCTCTTCTTCCTCCCCCTCTTCTTCCTCCCCCTCTTCCTCCTCCTCTTTCTCCTCTTCTTCTTCCTCTTCTTCTTCTTCTTCTTCTTCTTCTTCTTCCTCCTCTTCTTCCTCCTCCTCTTCTTCCTCTTCTTCTTCCTCCTCTTCTTCTTCCTCCTCTTCTTCTTACCTCTTCTTCTTCCTCCTCCTCGTCCTCTTCCCTCTTCTTCCACCCCCTCTTCTTCCTCCCCCTCTGCTTTCTCCCCCTCTTCTTCCTCCCCCTCTTCCTCCTCCTCTTTGTCCTCTTCTTCTTCCTCTTCTTCTTCTTCTTCTTCTTCTTCTTCTTCTTCTTCTTCTTCTTCTTCTTCTTCTTCTTCCTCTTCTTCCTCCTCTTCTTCCTCCTCCTCTTCTTCCTCGTCTTCTTCTTCCCTCTTCTTCTTCCTCCTCTTCTTCTTCCTCCTCTTCTTCTTCCTCCTTTTCTTCTTCCCTCTTCTTCTTCCTCCTCCTCTTCCTCTTCATCTTCATCTTCTTCCTCTTCCTCTTCTTCTTCTTCTTCTTCCCTCTTCTTCTTCCCTCTTCTTCTTCCCTCTTCTTGTTCCCTCTTCTTCTTCCTCTTCTTCTTCCTCTTCTGCCTCCTCTTCTGCTTCCTCTTCTGCTTCCTTTTCTGCTTCCTCTTCTTCTTCCTCCTCTTCTTCTTCGTCTGGTTGTTGCTGTTGTTGTTCTTGTTGTTGTTGTGCAGGTCGACAATGTGGAGCACGGCTATTGCGCCCAGGCGGTTGTGGTTCTGGTTGTTGTAGTGGTTGTTGTTGTTGTTGTTGTTGTTGTTGTTGTGCAGGCCGACAGCGTGGTTACTGCTATGGCGCCCAGGTAAGTGACGCGGGTATGGCCTCTGCCCCTCTTCTTCTTCTTCTTCTTCTTCTTTTTCTTCTTCTTCTCCTTCTCCTTCCCCTTCTTCCTTGTCCTCTTCTTCCTCTTCTTCTTCTTCTTGTTCTTCTTCTTCTTCTTCTTCTTCTTCTTCTTCTTCTTCTTCTTCTTCTTCCTCCTCCTCTTCTTCTTCTTCTTCTTCGTCTGGTTGTTGCTGTTGTTGTTCTTGTTGTTGTTGTGCAGGTCGACAGCGTGGAGCAATGGCTATGGCGCCCAGGTGTTTGTGGTTCTGGTTGTTGTTGTGGTTGTTGCTGTTGTTGTTGTTGTTGTTGTTG